TTAATTTAGAGTCAGTCTTTTAACGTTATCTGGCGGACAAAAAATAGCTTTAATTTGGTCTAAAAATCGGGCATTAGGTAAAGCGTGAAAAAAACCGAAACAATTGGGCTGGGTTTTTGGGACGGCTTTCTGAAATATCCAATCTTTATGGTCCAAAAGGTACCAGATAATGTTAAAAGACTGACTGTATCATTTTATTTGCATTTTTAATGTAAAAAATACATTTTTTTACAATTATTTTATTATTCCAAATTTTTTTATTAAAATTAAAAAATTATAAAAAATATTTCTAATACCTGAAAAACTATAAAAATGGTTTATAAAAACTATTTAATAATTTTTTTTCAATGCAAAATTTGAAAAAACAGGACAAAAAACAAAAAAAAATCATAATATGCTATAAATTATTATTTGCTGATTGGTTTTTCTGTGCTGGAATATTTTTCAGATATCTGTACACAATAATTAATAAGTGATTGTTTGGCAATTGCTGTTTTATGATATTTAATATTGAAAATGTACATTCTACATTTGTTACACAGATTAAAATAATTGAAATCAAAGTTATTTTGATCAAATATAATGTTTAAGTGTTTTGTATGTGATAAATTGCTTTTTATTTTTATTTAAAAAGAAGTGTTATTTATTAATATAAATTAAATAAAAAACAATAAATAATCATTTTTTATCATTTAAAATAACACAAAAAGTATAATAATAAACACCACCACTGTAATGTTGTTAGCTCTACTATCCATTTTACCTTCAGCAAAGCCAATACTTGGTTTGTATTTATTTCTAACGAATCCAAAGTAATCTTTATCAATTTTACCATCCAAGTCAGTATATTTTACATGAACACCGCTGTGATATAAAATAGAATTTTTATAAGGCACAAAACAGTATGGTTTTACATTAACATCAAAATAACTTTCATTAGTACAATTTCCATACAACCCACCTTGCCAAAACTGTTCCAAACCAATTTCTTCTTTTTTAAAATGGACTGAGTGTGACATTCCATCAGTTCCGTTCCATGAATCTTCAAGTATTTTATTTGATCCTCCATAATACACATTATCTGAAATGTTCCACGTCGATATTTCACTTTCATTGACAATTGCTGACCCCCAGGGGTAATTTGAATAGATAAAGTTGTTCTTAAATTGGTTGTTTTTGGTCTTATTCTTCACAACACATGCAGTTTGAAAACCAAGTGCCAACATTGAAATATTAAAAAAGATGTTATTTGCGACAGTGACATCACTGTAATATGCGATGTCGTTCCACCCCCAATACCCAACACCAAATTGTGCTCCCCATACAAAGTTGTTTCGAATAGTGATGTTTAACATGGGAACCATTTTAGTCGATCGAACTTCATCGCCAAGGACAATTGCCATATACTTCGAGTAATTTGAACATATAGAATAATTCGTGAATTTTATTGTGTTACTCTCTATCACACAATTTTGGGAATTGTCCATGTAGATAGCAAAAGGGAAGACATCATGAACGTAATTGTTTTTTACTGTACATCCACTACACATGATTAGGTCTATTGCTTCTCCCCATGAGTTTGCCACTTCATTGTCAGTAAAAGTGATGTTGGAAGACATGATGGGTAACTCGGGAGAAATTGCGTAAGTCCCTATACATGGTAACCACCCATCTATTTGACAATTTTTGTTGTTTAACATACAGCCGTCGATAAAATTGTTTTTGAATAAAATGTTCTCGCCAGTTGCAAACATGGCCCACTTCGATGAATTAAACACCTTAAAATTACTCATTGTTATGTTTGTGCTGTTAATTACAGCAACAGTATAACCCGTCCCACTACGAACAACAAAGGGGCCTATGATGTTCAAATTTGAGGACTTTTGAATTTGAAAGACCATGGAATCGTTGGTGTTCGTCTCAAAAATAACTTCAGAATTTAATTTAGAACGAATTGTAATAGGATGGTCGTGTGTACCATTTGTGTTCCAAGGAACCAATTGTGATGGATATACTCCAGCTGAAAATTCAATAATATCACCAGGAAGAATTGTGGAACATGCTGATTGTAAAGTCGTGATTTCACCTTTTAGATTGATAGATATGACCTTGCTTGAAATGTGGTAAAACATGAAATTAAGGAAAAGTAATCGAATAGTCAAAAACATTATTTTGTTTATTAGTTTATCGAAATAATTTATTGCATGTGTTAAAATTTATCAAAAATTGTTTTATCAATGAAATATAATTATTATTAAAATATATTTAAAGTCATTTGAATTGAACATATAGTTAATTTGGATATTAAATGTATTATAAAATTTATTTCAAAAAACGTAAACCCAATATTTTAAATATTGAATTGTTTGAATATAATATGAAAAATAACATAAATTTAATTAAATAATAATAAAATTATAGGAGTCAATCGACCTAACTCTTTGGATAATTGAATCATTAAAACTTTTGAATTTTTACATGTATTTAAAACTTATTATTAAATGATTTTGTTTAAATTTATTACAATTAAAAATTTATTTGGAATAATTATTTCAATAATATATTATTTTAATTAATTATAATTAAACCAAACATATAATTATAATAACTATAAAGTAGTATTAATTTTAAATTAAAAAAAATATAATAATTTATAAATATTTTAAACTAAAATATTATATAATAATATTTTTTTTTCATAATAAAGACAATATTATTATAATAACTTAACAAAACTAGTAATTTTAAATTTAATCTCATATCTAAAAATAACCAATTTTATTTATTCTTATTAAAACAAATATTAAAATTATAATAAATGAATATTATTATTATTACATTTGAATGGATCATTTGGGTATATTTGTTTTTTTTGGTTTATAAATAAAAATAACTTTTTAAAAATGAAACGAACATGTTTATAAGTGATATTTTATTTAATTATTTGGGTTTTGGTAAGAAAACCAACATTGCAAATAACACTTTATCAAATCCATATTAAAATTTATTGTACTATTAATAATAACATTTTATATATAAAATATAATACAAATAAATTCAAAAATAACTTTTTTGAGTGTTTTTAAAACAAAAAAACTGTTCAACATTACATTATTTTTTCCAATAAAAATTAGAGAAAATTATAAACCATCCGAACGAATTATGTTTTTTGGTTTTAACTTGACATTTAAAGTTTGTTTCAACCAATTAAAAATACATCTGAAATCACACAAAAAACGAACTTAGTATAAATACAACTAAGAAAAACTTATAAAAAATATATTGGAAATGAAAAACAATATTACACCACTCCTGGTGTTCTTCTTTGCTTTCTTTGTCTTTGCCATTGACTTGCCCATGTGTGTTGATGTCAAGACAATTAAAGTTCAGTTAGACAAATCACACACGGTTGTCCCAAAACTGCTTTCCAAAGTCTACCCAAATTTATCTCTGACTTTTACTTCCTCGGATGAAAAAGTTGCCACAATTGACTCCAAAGGTCTTATTATACCAAAAGCTGTTGGTAAGACTGAGATCAGAATATTTATTTCTGGACATCCTTTATATGAAGCAACTATAGTCGAGATATACCAACAAATTGCAACTGAAAGCTTGATTCTTCAGAGTGAGACTACTTCCATCAAAGTTGGACAGAACATTCAATTGACTGTATTCTCCGAGCCGGCCCACAAGAAGTTGAGTACCTCAGAAGTCATTTGTTCGTTCTCAAATACTTCGGTTTTGACTATTTCAAATGGAGTTATGACTGGTGTTAATGAAGGGACATCAACTTTGACTTGTTCATACACTGAAAATGGAAAGGTCATAACGCAGACCAAAGACTTTATGGTGTACACAGTTATCGCCACGGATGCCATTGTTATAGAGTCTGAGTCTGACGGAGTTAAAGTTGGTCAGATCATTACTGTAAAAGTATATGCCAACCCTGGACATCGCCCTTTGACAAACGCAGAAGTCACTTATTCGTCGTCGAATGATAACATCTTCACTGTGTCTAATGAAGGAAAGGTCAATGGAATTTCAGCTGGTTCTGCAAATGTTAGAGTCAGTTATACAGAAAACGGAAACACATTCAGTGCAGAAAAGACGTTCGTTGTTTCAATAGCGGAAGTTGTGACAGACTCTATTACTCTTGAAAGCGACTCAACTAGTATCAAAGTGGGAGAATCCGCGGTATTAAGAGTATACGCAAACCCCAATAAAAGAATTCTAAATTCAAATCAAGTCTCATTCAGTTCAAATCATCCAGATATATTGAACGTAAATGGTGAAGGAAAAGTTACTGGAGTTAAAGATGGGTCTGCAACTATTAGTGTGAGTTATACAGAAAACGGAAAGGTATTCAGAACTACACTTATATTCGCTGTATACACAGAAATTGTTACAACAAGAATTGGTATTGAAGCGACAATCACTGATGTTAAGGTGGACGACATAGTATACATCAACGTGTATGCTTACCCAGCGAGCAGAAAGCTCTTATCAAGTGAAGTTTCTTGTGTAGCAACAGACGCCTCAGTGATACAAGTCAATTCAAATTTATCATTACAAGGAAAGAGTACCGGTACAACAACAGTGAAGTGCACATACACTGAGAAGGGTGTGACTTTTGAAGACTCGAAAACTTTCAATGTGTTTGTCGAAACCCTACGACTTGATTCAGACCAAGACACCATCCAAGAAGGTCAATCAACGACTTTAAGAGTCTTTTTGATGCCATATAAAACACAACTTTCATCGAGTGAAGTTCTGTTGTCTTCTTCCAATGTAACAGCCTTAAAAACTGGAAACGATTTAACTGTCACTGGAGTATTTGCTGGTACAGCAACAGTGACATGTACACACTTGACTAAGAATATAGTTGTTACAAAGGTATTTACTATTACTGAAGATCCGACTATAAGAATAACATTTGAAGCTGATAACAACACAATGCAGATTTATGATGAAATGAATTTGACGGCTTATTTAGAACCTGGTCACAAATTAATTGGTGAAGACGATACGAATCTCTATTACACGTCTGAAGATTCAGACATCCTCAAAGTGTCAGGCAGAAAATTACTTGCAAGAGGGGAAGGAAGTACTCTTATTACTGCGGTGTATAACAAGAATTATGGTGAAATTCATGTCACTTCGGGTCAGACATTTAATGTCTTCCACGGAACTATTCACGTTAAAAGTGTTACTTTTGCTTTTGAAAACATCACTGTTGTAAAAGGAAACCCATTCAGTTTCCAAGTCCATGTCAATCCACCATTGGCTAATAACAAAATAGTTACTGTTGATTCGTCAGTTGAAGGATTTTATCCAAATAAAAACACTGTAATACAGGCCGAGAATATATATACGATTATTCCCAAGATTACCGGTAGAACAATTATCACTGCAGTGTCTGATGAAGACTCTACACTCAGAGCTTCTTTCGAATTAATTGTTGAAGAGACTTCGACTCGTGGAGGTGGAGTTTTAGCCAAGGGAATTACTATAGAGGATGGATGGTTTGATTGTAATAAGGAGTGGCTAGGAAGAGACAATGTGACTGTTCTTAATTATTCCACTACATATATGAGTAAAGACAGTACTTTGTGTTGGGCTGCAACTACTGCAAATCTGATTGATTGGTTCCAAAAATCGATTGGCTGGGACCATGTTCCTCAAAATACGCCATATGGTCCTTCTAAGTGGCCCAATGGAACTGATAAAGCGAATGATAACACGGCTTATTCACAAAGTTTAGCATATGAATACATCAGACTTTGTACAACTGACGATGGATACTTTGTTGGTCAAGCACTGAATTGGTTCTTTACAGGAGGAGACCACTTGCTATATGACACATATCATGAAAGAGGTTTTAGATATATTGATTATGTCGGTTTTGAGAAAAAGAAGAAAATTGCTGCAGACAATTATCTCCCAAGAGATCAGGGAAGAGAGTACTACATTAACTACATTAAAAATACAGTAGTACCACATTTCAAAAGAGGTACACCAATGGGTCTTAATATCAACTACATTAATGGAGGAGGTCATGCTATAACCATGTGGGGATATGAACTTGGTGATTATGATATGGTAGATGCTGAGGAATGTTACACTATGAATCAAGAAAATTTGAAGGTAAAACAAGAAGACTTGGACAGTAAGAGAGGAGACTATATGATCACTTATTTCTATATCACAGATTCAGATGATGGATGTGGAGCTGTTGGTGGATGCGGTAGAGTTACTAAACCAAGTCCATTGGTCAGAATTCCCGTGTTTTACAGAGATAATGGTGCTTATGTGGTTACAGCTACTAATTGTGCTTCCTATGCTAAAGTTCTTTCATTGACCACATTCAACGTAAACTATGGAGAAGTACCAGTGAAACGAACTGCGTAATTAAGTTTATTGTTGCTTTATATTAAAAATGTAACATATTATGTTTGTTTAAGATAAAACCATTTTTATTCAAGTTATTTTTTCTATAAAAACGATAATATTTATTCAAAAACTCAAGCTTATAATTATATAAAATATTTCGATAATCAATACTTAAAAATTATTCGAAGATATAATATAAAAATTCTTTTTATTGATTTATCAATAGTATGATATAAAAAAATTATTGATTTTCAATTACGATTAAAATTAAAGTTAATTTTTAATATTCAAATATTTTAGTGTTTTTTAAAAAACATGACAATTAAAATAATAAATAATGTCGACTTCAGTTTGTACTTTCCACGCCAAATTAGAAATGATTTATTTAATGCGCGTCTCTTTAGAACTACGTAGTATCAGTGATTCTCAAAACTTTATATCAGTCAGTCATGTATGTTACAACGCATTCAGTGCTCTTCGTATCAACCCAAATTATTATAGTCAAAAAGCTTATCTTTGGTATGTTAAACATTTCATGCCTGACACAATCGACTTTAAAGAGTTAAATATTATTGATTTAACACCTTACTCAAACGTTTCTTGTTATCAAAACATTTCATTTGGTCCACTCATTAAAAATAAAATGATGACAAAAACTTATACTGATTTGATACTTCCTAAAGTCACGCGTCTTTCACTTGTTAAGTTGGACAAACAGTTCATTACAAAATTTGCAAGAAAATTCACTCAATTGGAACTTTTGAAAGGAGGACTTGATGAGGTTGTGCAATTTTTCAATTCGTTTGTGAAAAATGAAAACGACAAGTTTTTAAAATTTCCAAAAAAGATTTTGGTGTTTGACACTTTCGATGAAAAATCGATACCTTTGATAGAGAAATTGGGACAATTGTTGCCAACAGATGGGAGGTCACGTTTATATTTCATCGCGAGTAAAAGTGTGACTTCAGAAACTGTTTTAGATGAGATGCGTATAGGAGAGTATTTCTATAACATATTCATGTCAAACGCAGTTCAACAATATAGAGATAAAGTGTGTTTAAACGATGGGTGTTTAGAGTGTATCGGCAACTTTAATTTTTCTGAGTTGACAACTTTGATACACAAAACTGTTGCAAGAAAATTTTTTATTAGAAATCCGGCCGAGTCGATTGGTGGAACTTTCAATGAATTTATTAAAGAAATTGCCATTGTGTATGGGAAGGGGAGTGAAGACTTTGATGTCAATTTTGAGAACCCGGTTTTTTATGAAGGAAGGCAAAACTTTTGGTTTGACTCGGACGTGTTAGAAGAAATAAAGTTCATGTCGTGTAACAACATCTTTTTCAAGAGTAAATCAAAGTTTTTGAAAACAATAAAACTCGAACATTGCCACGAAATGTCCATTTTCTACGATTTTCACAATGGAGAAATTTTTAAAAAATGTGGTGTCATTTACATGGAACATTCACTGAACATAAAATTTTCTGATATTTCGAAATTAACAACTTCAACTTTTGAACAAGATAAAAGTAACGAGACAACAACTTATAGTGAGGAAAGGAAGATACAAACAAATAAAAGTACTATCTTACCCAAACTCATTGTGATTTCTGGATGTGTTGTTGATGTCTTGATATTTGATGAAATCAACAAAATAATTGTCATTGACACAACATGTATAACACTTAAAAATATTTCATTAAAAACTACATCAGTTGTATTTGACAAAGTTCATCAATTGATATGTAAAAACAATACTTTGGAACTTCTATGTGTTGATTTTAACAAGGAAATTGAAAACTACTTTGAGTCGCCATTTCTGTTTAAAAAATCGACAAAATCGAAGTTTGAAAAAGACAAAATTTGGGTGTGTCATAAATTTTTCAGCATGAATAATCACCTTGTAATCACAAAGGACGATTGTGTTGTAAAGAACACGATGTATACAACAGTGACGAATGACATGCTTTTTTCATATAATTTTTATAATAAAAATAACGCCGATTTACCAATGTGTTTTTATAACAAGAAAAACAAAATAGACCACATTCATGGTATTCGTTATTTTGAGGTCGAAGTAACTGGACAATCATTTATTGCAATTGGATTGTACTCTGCAAAATTGTATCAGAGTGGAGATGCAAATGTGATGATTGGTTGTGATGTTGACACAGTTGGTTTTTACAGTGATGATGGAAACATATATTGTGGCGGAAACATCGAAATTCAAACGAGTTTTCATTATGGGAATTGTGTTGGAAAGGTCGATGTTGTTGGGTGTGGATATATTATAGAGGAAAAGTCGGCGTTCTTTATAATGAACGGGAAAATGGCTGGAAAAATTGCAGTTGAGTGGGATAGTGTGTGTGCTGCAATCACATGTAACGAAATTAATACATTAAAAATAAATCGAGGACAAAAAATGTTTGTAACTAATTTGTCTTTGTTCAAAGAAAGGAAGAAAGAGGATTGTGTCGTTATTTAATCAATTATTATTAGTTTATATTTCTTATAAAACGAAAGAGAAGACTGCTCCAATCCATGTAATCCAATAACAAATCGAATTGGAAATGCATAATTGAATTCTTGGTGGTGTTTCTATTTTATATAAAACAAAGAAGTATAAGTACTTGATTATTTATATTAACCAAAAACAAAATTTTTTTGAGTAAAATTGTTAAAAGTGAATTTCGAATTGTCACAAAGTGACAAGTTCAAATTGTTGATTTTTTACATTTTAATTATATCACAGTTATTAACACTTATTAAATTAAGAACTTTTGCATCATTAAAATATATTATTATATACATTAACAATTAAAGTTAAATCAAAACAATATTTGTTATTTATTAAAAATGACACAATTATAACAATTCTTTATTTATTAATTATCATTTCAATTTGTAAACGGCTTTTGGAGTCCTGACACCAACATTGTGTTATTATGTCTTATTGATTTTCTTCAATAAGAGGATCTTTCAACTTCAATCGATTGTCGTGAATCACAAACTTGGCAATTTTCCATGGAAACTTGAATTTGTCATTTTGGTAAGCTTCAGACCACCCAAACACTTTATACATTGTTATTGCAAAAGAATAAATATCAGCAGCCTTTTTATACTTTTTTGTTTAAAATATCTAGTGCCATATACACAGGAGTTCCAATAACTTTTGTGAATGTCATGTTGGTCATTAACATGTTGACATTTCTAGCACTTCCAAAGTCAGTCAATTTAGCATTGACTTTCTCATTCAAGTCAAGTGAAATAACAAGAATATATCGGGCTTGATGT